GCTCGGGTGGTAGCTCTCGGCGTGCTCGTACTGCTCGAGTTGCTTCCTCTTGCTCTGCTTGGGCTGGCGGGGCTCGGGGGCGGGAGCGGGAGCGGGCATAGGCGGGAGGCTGTGCAAGTCGTGCCGAAAGAGAATCCGGTAGTGGGGGTCCAAGGAGCCGTGCTGCATGCCGCCTGGTTCTTTTGGAAAAGCTGTGGAATAAGCAGTCGGTGAGTGACAGGGTGCCTGGAGAGACCTGGAGACGCCTGGAGGCGACAACTGAGCAGTTCAGAAGGTAGGGTAGGGGTGACGGAGCAGCCGCAGCGTCTGTGCGCCTGACAAGCAGAGGGAGGAGTCTGTGAGTCATTCAACTTGCGCGGTTGTCCTGACAGTAGTTGGTTCGCGTTTGTCTTCCCGAATCGGCGTCCCCAAATGTTTGGCCTCAGCACTTGTGTGTGTGTGTGCGTGGCACGGGCACGGGCCTGTCCGTAGCCGGCAGGGCAGCAGGCAGAGGTCAGGGCAGGAACCGAGCGGGGCGGGGGCGGCCCGGTGGCGCCCGCACGGAGCACTGCCTCCACCCTGGGCGGTCGCGCGGTCGCAAACGTCCGCTGATCTCCTCCCTTGCAATGGTCCTTCCTCATAAATAATTCAGACAACTCCCTGCTGCTCGTCCGTCACTCTTCCCTCGCGCCCCGCTCCACCCCGTGTGCCCCACTGTTGATTTTGGCACTCATCTTTGTCTCCAAACCGCCCCTTCCTCGCCACCGTCACGATTTCGCAATTTTCCCCCCCGGTTTATTTGGTGCGCATCTGCTCGTGATGATGGAAAGGGCGCGGAAAAAAAAAAAACAAACTGAACGGGGGAATGACTTTGGCCTGCTTGCGAAAATTACGGGGGGGGGGGGGGGGGGGGGAGGGCGTGTCGGCGTGTCGGCCGGCGCAACGCTCGCCTTATTTCGCTAGCAGACGGCTGGAGAAAGCTGCTGGAGCTAAAGTCATGGGTCCCTATGTAAGAAGAGCCGAGGCAGGCGGTCGCTTACGCGTAATTAAGGTAGACTGAGGCCTTGCGGGTGCGTGGCGGGGCGGGGCAAGGCGTGGCGGGGCGGGGCGGGGAGCGTTTCGCGTCCCACCACTCACGCAACGAGGCACGCAGCGGTGTGCAAAACGACACTCGGAGAGTGTAGGCCTAATCAATGGAGGTAGCAGACGGACGGACTAGACAGGCAGACTGACAGACAGACAGAAAGACGGTCAGATAGACATAAAGACAGACAGACAGGCATACCCGAAATACAGACGGGCAGACAGACGGTCCAACGGTAGCGTCTGCGGTTGCCTACCTGCCCTGCTGTAACAGCTTGCGGGACACGGGGTGGAGGAGAGGGCAGGGCGCCTGGCGGGTCGGTGGCTGCGTGGGGAGGTGGAACAACAGCACAGTCTGCTGCATTGATCACCACGGGGCACAGCCCGGGCACCGCCCTCCTCCCCCCACTCCCCACTCCTTGCCTTCTCCTCCAATCGACGATAGACTGATTGATAAGCGAATGCGTCGCTCGCGCTCCGTAGAGTGGCGGGGCGGGGCGGGGATGGGCGGGGAGCTCCGTCTCCAGGGGATTCGCAAAGTGATGGAGTGGGTGGTGAAGGGCTGGCCGCGGCCCCCCCGCGCAGCCCGGGCTTCGCGCCGGGTCAGCCGGGGGGTCACGCCGAGGGGTTGGCGAGCGTGGCCCGGGAGTGGCCTGCTCGCGGCGGAGAGGGAGAGCGAGAGAGAGGGGGGGGGGGGAGAATAAAATTAAACCGCTGCCTACTGACTGCTGCTGCAGAGACGAAGTGGACGACATGGCGACCACCGGCGACATGAGCCCCGACGAGTTCCGCGAGTTCGGCAAGGCGGCCGTGGACTTCATCGCCGACTACATCGGCAACATCCGCGACCGGCCCGTCCTCCCAGCCGTGGAGCCGGGCTACCTGGCGCCGCTGCTGCCCGCCGAGTGCCCGCAGGACCCCGAGCCCTGGCAGGAGGTCATGAAGGACCTGGAGGCGCACATCATGCCCGGCGTCACGCACTGGCACAGCCCCTCGTTCCACGCCTACTTCCCGACAGCCAACTCGTTCCCGGGCATCGTCGGCGAGATGCTGAGCGCCGGCCTCGGCGTCATCGGCTTCAGCTGGGTGAGCGGCGCAGAAAAAGTCGTGTCGATTTATCATTATTCGCAGAGAACTGACGCGTGATTTTTGTTTTCGGTTTTGTTTGTTTTTGTTGCGCAGATCACGAGCCCCGCCTGCACTGAGCTGGAGGTGATCGTCGTGGACTGGCTGGGCAAACTGCTGGGGCTCCCGGAGGAGTTCCTGCACAGCGGCCCCGGGTCCGGCGGCGGAGTCATCCAGGTAAACTTAGAGTGGGCCAAACCATCGGCTGTTGTTGGTTCAATTGACCTTGGGGTCCGAACAATGCGCGCGCGCTTGAACGCCGGAGCGATTAAGACCCAAACCCCGCTGAGAGCAGGAGGAGAGGGTCGGACCACGTCGGGCCGCGTGGCGTGGCGCTCTCAGCTTTACAGGCCATTATTCCTGGCCGTCATGAACGAAAACAGTAAAAGTATGGCTGGCGGGGGCACGGCGCGGCGCAGTCCGCCTGGAGCCGGCCACGGGCCGGGGGCCGCGGCACCGATCGGCTGATCGGGCATGTCGGTCAGGCGGGGGTCGTCTATATCTGCGTCGGCGCCCGGCGACCCGCGAGAAAAGGGGGTGGAGGTGAGGCGTTATGGGAAAGTGACAACGGTGCGAGAAAAGTTTTATTTAAAAAAATAGAATAAAAAAAATTCATGGAGAAACTCGAGGGGTGCCCAACTAAGGTAATCAGGTGTACACAGATTTGGTAACCACTCTCCTCAAGGACTTGTGAAAAGACAAATTTGTTGATTAAGACATGCATTTTTGTGCACATCTTAATAAAACGCAAACGTGCATGTTGGAAATTAGGAATTTGCATCTTTCTCATGGACAAAACTATAATCTGTCCACTGACAGGATGCAAATTTGTAAATCGGAAGCTTCAAAATTGGAACTGATTCAGAAGTCAAAAAGGCAACTTCCAAAAAGCTCGGTCTCTTTTCTCAGATTCATTCGGTGGTAAACTTACGGCAGGTCGAACGCCTGCAAGACGCAGGGTAGGCAAACCCGCGTTGCACGTATGCACTGCAGGCAAGATGTTGCCTACCCATCAGGCGCTAGGGGAGCTTGCGTTGGCAGTTCCGTAACGGCGGATGGGCAATTTCAGGATGACCCCTAACTGACCGGCGGCTCAGAAGAACAAAAGAGTTTTTTTTTAAAAAAAAATCTCAAATCTGAATATTGAACGTCCGAAACAAGACGGTGTTCCTCTCACGCTACTAACGAAGGCAAGCACTATTCCTGTTGCTGAAATGTGATCCCCTGTTGAACTTGCACACTCACCAGGGTTCGGCGAGCGAGGCGACGCTGGTGGCCATGCTGGCGGCGCGGGACCGTATGGTGCGCAGGGTGCGCCAGGACCACCCCAAGCTGTCGGACGGCGAGATCAGAGCCAAGCTCGTGGCCTACACCTCCGGTACGTACAACGACAAGGGCTGCTGTGACGAAATGTGACTAAATAAAGAACAAACGATGTTTATGCAGACCAGGCCAACTCGTCGGTGTGGAAGAGCGGCTTGCTGGGGGCGATGCCGATGCGCCAGCTGCCCACCGACGCGGACGGTGCGTTCAGAGGCGACGTCCTCGAGGCAGCCATCCGCAGCGACCGACAAAAGGGGCTCATCCCCTGCTATGTGAGTGTCCGAGCGGCGAGAAAGTGATTCATGTGACAAAGGGCTTCGAATGAAGTGGATGCACAGTAGTTTTTTTTTCGCTCGGAAAAAGGCGTCAGACAAACACCTTGGTTTCAAGGACATTTTTCCTTGTTTCGAGTAAATGCGGCTCCAAGATCAATTTTACTCTTGAAACAAGCTGGAACTATCTTTCGAATAAGAGAAAAATCTTCTTCCAAAAGCAATATGGACTTGTTTCAAGAGTAAATTTCATCTTGGAGCAGCATGCTCTTGAAATAAGGAACAATTTTTCTGGGTGAATGTTGACGCGTACCTGAAATTTGCAGGTTGTGGCTACCCTGGGGACGACGGTGACGTGCGCGTTCGACAACCTGGAGGAGCTCGGACCTGTCTGCAATCGGGAGGGACTCTGGCTGCACATCGACGCGGCGTACGCGGGTAAGCGAACTGGCCCGCCACCCCCTCCTTGGCAGCTTAGGGTTCTGCTGACCCCAAGCCGCCACCAAAGTTTCTCATATTCGGGTCGTTCCGGTGAGCTGTACCATTCCTCCGCTCGCAGGCGCCGCTTACGTCTGCCCCGAGATGAGGCACACCATGGCCGGGGTGCAGTACGCCGACTCCTTCGACATGAACCCGCACAAGTGGCTGCACGTCAACTTTGACTGCTCCACCATGTGGTGAGCTCCCCGATCGGCATGGCTGTGATGGGCGGTGAGTGGAGCCCACACACCGTGCGGTATAACCAAGTAGTGTCGGCTCCCCTTTTTTGCAGGGTGAAGAACGCCAACGACCTGGAGAACGCCTTCAACGTGGACCCGGTCTACCTCAAGCACGACAAGCAAGGGGTCATGCCAGACTACAGGGTGAGCCAGACATCGAGGCGCGTAACACGTCCCCTGCGGCTGTTCATCTGAGGGTTGGGAAACAACAGCAAAGAGGGGCCACATAGTGGCCATGCCACAAGGAACGTGTTGACGGTCAAATCCCCAGCAGGTTTTCCAATTTATCGCTAATTGCAAACATGCTCTTCCCCCTCCAGCACTGGCAGCTCCCGCTGGGCCGTAGGTTCCGCGCCCTCAAGCTGTGGATGGTGTTGCGCACGTACGGCGCGCGCGGGCTGCAGGCGCACATCCGCAAGCAGGTCCAGCTGGCCGCCGACTTCGAGGAGCTGGTGCACCGCGACGCGCGCTTCGAGGTGGTCATGCCCGCTCGCTGCGGGCTCGTCTGCTTCAGGATGGTGGTGAGTGACCCGCGCCGAGGCCGCGCCGAGTGCGGCGGACGGCTTTGACGGGCATCTTGGCCGAGGCCAGCGTCCCCAATCCGAGGTCTGAGCGACGGCGGTGGCGGTTGGCGGTCGCCGGGCCAGGGCCCGGGAGGTAAGGGTCGGGGCTGTTTTCACTCGAACCCGACCCGACCCGTGCTCGATCCGAGCCGGGGCCCCCGGGTGTCGGTGATGGACCGACCGATTCCCGACGCGGCCGCCTGCTGGCGTCGTAGGGTAACCGAGACTACCTAACCCCCTGCTCCCCCGCCCCCACCACTTCCCGAGCCGAGACGCAAGACGGACCACCTCTAGGGATGAGCACCAAGGGGCGTAATCCCCCTGAACGAGGGAGCAAACAAAAGGAGGAGTGCTGCTTGGCGGGCGGGGGCGTGGCGGCGCGTGGCGCGACCAGACCCCAGCCCTCTCAGTTCACTGCTCTTCAGCAAAGCTCTTTTCCAACCCTCTTGCTGACCCAAACCTCACCGCCGCTCACCGCCAAACAACCCGCAGAGTACACTCCGCGGAAAATAATATCCCCCGTGCGTTTGTCTTGTGTTTGGCAGGGCCCGTGCGCGCGCACCCAGGAGCTGCTGCGGCGCGTGACCGCGCGCAAGACGCTGTACATGATCGCGGCCAGCGTGCGCGGCCAGGCCGTGCTCCGCTTCGTCGTCTGCAGCCGCCTGACCGAGCTCGAGGACGTGCAGCGGTCCTGGGCGGAGATCGCGGCGCAGGCCGAGGCCGTGCTGCAGGCGGAGAGCGTGGCCGCGGCCCTGGCGCCCGCGCCGGCCCTGTGCGACCCCAGCAGGCCGATGGGCAAGAGCCCCAGCGTCGTCCACAACATGCTGGGCTCGGCGGGCAACACCGCGGACCCGCAGCACACCGTCTGAGGGCTTGGTGGCTTGCAAGGCCGACTCTCCCGATGCCGCGTTGATGTGTCGGGAAATATTATTGTTTTGTTTGTTTGTTTTGATTTATATTTTGTTATTTTACGAAATAAAACACGTTTGTATTAATGTGCAGCAATGATGCTGGCTTTATGAAATCGCTCGATAACCATCATGTGTTTCTTGGAACGGGCTAGAACAGTTGTATGGGTTTGCCTCTCCCTTTGCCCGAAAGGCGCCATGGCCCCTGCGGCATGAACGAGTTTGCAAACCTACAATTTTGCAGTGCGAGCGCAGAAACACAAAACATGATGTAAGTTTAACCTCTGGGAACACCCAAATCACTCAAATGAGTGGACTCTGGTGTCTATTTATTCTTAGTAAGGAAGGTGGGTGGTGGGCAAAAATCAGACAGGAGACACACAGAGATATACAGGTCCTCTCAATTTTGAGATATGGTTACGAAATAACTCTCGCACATAAGATTACATTACCACATTATGTCTGACCAATGAGACTCTAGGATGTGTGAGTCTTACTCGCCATTACTTTTGCCAGATTCTTGGAATGATCATAAAATAAACTCGTGTAATACGCTTGCGAAGGCTGGCGGTCTTGTTGTCGACTTGTCATGCACTGTACCAGGTGGCTGACTGGCATATTCGACGATGTGTCGGGGGTGAAATAAGCATGTGGAAGACCCGACACCCGACTACACTACTGGAGAACAACAAGGCCGTGCGAAAATCGCATTCTTGACGATGACGATTACGTTGATTCTTATTTGTTGTCTGCCCATAACAACTTCGTTGTAAGTCCTCCAATTCCAGATATTTCATATCAGCACGTACGTTCTTAGGTATATCTTTCTTTATTTTTATTGCAGTCAATCAACGTGGTGTTACATTCATTTTAAAACTAAATCATTCGAATTCATTACAACTTACAACAACGATAATCACATTTTGTTTATCAACAGGACATATTTGCGTACCATATCAACAGACGTACCATCTACAATCAATTCATCTCTTTTGTCTCATCAGGGTGCAGCTGTTATGACATCGCTCGTCTCCTCTACCTTCACACGTCAATTCGATTTTCATTAATTAGGGTAGTTAAATCCCTATTCTACCCCAGTTACCGTCCGTTCCCCCATCTTGCACTTCGCCCCTCTGTTCGGACCCCGCTAAGTCACAGCTGCCACCGCTGCCGCATGGTCCGGCCGAGCACTACGGACGGACGGCGCCGGGCCGGGACTGGAAGTACCGTGACATTAGAATCGTTGACACAAACTTGCTCTGGGGGGAATTCCCCGACCTCCCCGCGCACTGGAGGAGGCTGCTTCCGAGAGGTGGTCTGACGTCTCGGCCTCCTCGTGTGGCGAGGCGAGGGGGTATGGCTAAAGGAGGCTGTCGGCTGCGTACTTCGGGGGCAGCCAAGCGGGTGCCGCGGCAGGGACAATGTTGCTTCGGGTGAGCCCCTCATGGCGTGGCGTGGGTCCCGCGCCGCCCCCGCCCCTCACCCACGCCCCGCCCCTTGTATCCTTCCAGTGGAGTCGCCGGGGAACTTCGCTGGCCCCAACCTCCACCCCGAAAGGGAATCCGTCTTCCAATAAAG